CTATCCTAAAGCTAATGATGGTTACTATCGAGTGTCACTTGCTTGCTGCGGTTTGTTGTGTATTGGCAAAAAGTCATGATATGTAATCAAAAACATCTTAGGTGTGAAAAAACGGTGCGGCCAAAAAAAAAAAAAGGATTGAGCGTGCGACTTAAGGGAATGAAATCAAATTTGACGACCAAACTGGTAGCTACACTTAGAGCTTTGATAATAATTTTACAGCAAATATTCATTCATTAGTTATCTAGGTCACGTACAATGCTCCTACGGTTGAAAAAGCGAGAATTTTCCGTGAGGGGAGATTCGAACTCACTACTCGCAGCTTGCGAGTAGAGCACTTTAACTACCAGGCCGTGTTAGGCCTAGCATTGTTACGAAATTTGTTAATACATGTAATTACTTTGACTGTTTTTTACAAATATGAAATTAAGATTAAGATATAATTATTATAATTATAGATCTATTTATAAATTTCTCCTCTCATAAATGTAGATCGAAATTTGGAAGACATAGAGAAAGATTTGTAGACGTGGCTGCGCCCTCTGTAGTTTTAACAGAAATGGAGGAACCACCTTCAATGTCGCATTCACGGTGCAGCAACTGTAACGAATGTTCTTCAGGATTACAGAGAGCGAGTTACTCTATGCTCGCGCCCCCTACATCGGCGGGTAAGCTTAAGCTATAAACAATTTGACCTTATTTTGAGAAATCGGGGGTGGAGGGGGAGGACAATTTGTCTGATTTAACAAACTCTTGAGTGATCAAAACTCATTTTAGTTTCTGTTGTTGTTGTTGTGAGAAAAAAATCATATTGGTAAACTGTCCATTTAACTGAAAGTAGGGAAATAAGCAAACCTAAATAACACAGCAACAATACTTTGTCAAGAAACAATATATTCTGTGTAAGGGTGAATAATCACCAAACGATATATTCACAACTCTGTTGCTCTGAGAGTTTAACACATGGCTACAGAACGAGAAATTGACATAGTGAGAAGTTAGTGCCCGGTCTTATCACAGCTCATCTTTTACAAAAGGCAAAAAAAAAAAAAATTTAAAATATCCGTTAATAATTAAATAATTTAATAATTAAAGCCACATTTAAGGAAAGTGTTTCTTCTGTTGAACGTTACCAACTGGATAAATTCGTATTTAATTCTGAGTACATAACAATAATAAGCAAAGAAAAGCATTGAATTGTATTATATATATTGTTCCCAATCGCCTGTATAAAATATGGATTAGTTTGTGTATTATTAAACAGCATTTCTAATTAATCTTCAATGCGTTCAGTGCGAAGCAAATACAAGTTTTGAAAGTTTATTTGATGTTGTTACCTGTTACCGACAAATAATATTGGTTTCTTTGAATTTACTGAAACAGGCTCCCGTCGGACAAGTTCAACTTCCATCAGATCCCACACATCTCTTCCAAGTAACCATGAAGGGTGCGACCCCGTTAGACGTTCTTCTTCACCAGTAGAGACCACACCGTCGGGGTTTTACCGAGATAATCAGCAAGGGGAGCAAGTAATAATATAAACTTATCAATTTGTATCTAGCTATGTGGGTGTAACATTGAGAAAAGTAACAAATTACAGTTACTCAAAGTATGTAAATACGTTATGTACAGAATTGTTTATAGTTAGATAAGCACAAAGCCTAACAATGGGCTATCTGTGCTCTGCCCACCACGTGTATCGAAACCCGGTTTCTAGCAGTGTAAGTCCGCAGACATACCGCTGTGCCACTGGGGAAGGGTACTATGTAATGAAAGAAAGAAAAATAACCTTCCATCAAATGAATTGAAGAATGCTTATATCCTGTTTAATTGTTCCAGCGCAAAACCACACAATGGATTATCTGCACTCTGTCCACCGAGTGGAATCGAACCCCGGACGTTAGCGTTGTAAGACCTTAAACTTGCTGCTGACCCACTGTGGATACATAGTGTATTATAAACGTCATGTTTCCGGCATAGTTTTGGTATGTTTTAAATTTTACAGCAGTTTCATGTAATTGAAATTAATTCTTCAAAACAAGTATACTAAAAACGTATTCTAACGATCAGGTCCTGCTAAAATTCTGGATTAGATTCCTTGCGGTGGACAGAGTTCAGGAGAATAAGAAAGGCTTAAAAGATTTCCTGTAGAAATAACATTTTCTTTTATATAAATGTACAAGCTGAGGTATCCGTCCTGTGTCCGAGTTATGAACTGAAAAAAATGTGAGGTGATAAATAACACACACAAATCCTAACTTTCACACAATTTATTTATAACATAACATATTATAGTATTTATTATTGGTTAAGACTGATAGACGGTGTATCCCCATCGCAATGTGGGTCCTACTTATTCAGTCACCTGCAAAACCCAGGGCACATTTTATATCCCACACTGTAGCTTATACCCTGGAGATCCTTTTAATGTATGCAGTGTCTTTAATTTAATTTAATTTTTTTTGTGGGAGGGGGGGGGAGATGCAGCTTTTTCTTCACTGTCTCTTGTGCTCTTGTTCTAGCTATCCTTTCCCTATCTTGACTCTGTCTAGCAGCAGTTTCATCAGCTGTTTCTTGTGCTCTTGTTCTAGCTATCCTTTCCCTATCTTGCTCTGTCTAGCAGCAGTTTCATCAGCTGTTTCTTGTGCTCTTGTTCTAGCTATCCTTTCCCTATCTTGTCTCTGTCTAGCAGCAGTTTCATCAGCTGTTTCTTGTGCTCTTCTTCTAGCTCTCCTTTCTCTATCTTGAACTAATCTTGCAGCAGTTTCTTTTGCCGTTCTTTGCGATTTCCTTTCTTCAATCCTCTTCGAAAGTTTTGATTTTCATGAATACAATGACTTCAAAACTCGTTTGTGTATCTTGAGACACTTAGTTAGGGGTGCAGTATGTGGGTGTACTTCAACAAAATTGACTCTTTTGGAAACTACAAACTACATTACTTATTATACCATTTGCTTACAATTACTGTCGAGGCGGGAAGCAATGTGCGATCTCTTTGAGGTAATGGTGAAACACTGTGGAACTAAGGGTACATGAGTTTACTTTGTCTTCACGTGATTAATTAATTGACGGTAATTGGCCACGTTATAGAAAATGTAATAAAGGTTGTTTTTGTGTAAGGTTGTGGCGCCATCTATAAATGTAGTTAACGTTAATTTACATTAAAGATAATAAATGGAGAATAACAGCAATAATGAGGGTGGGGTAAAGAGGGTTTTGAACCCCCATCAACGTGCCCCTTGTTCCAAACTACCATCCCGTAAACTTTGGTTGGACTGGCCCAGCTACCTAGGAGTAGTTAGATAAGGGATAAACAGACAGATACACAGATTTTTGTTCTTTATATATGTAGATTGCCATTTAAGATTAAAGTGTAATCAACAAAGGTTTTGGTTTATTAAATTTGACCTCATATTTATCATGAATTCTGAGAATGTCGACCCAATATATACTGCAATGGTAATTAACTTTAAATTTTAAAACCTCGAACGACAGTTCTCTATAGAATGCATAGCCCTAAATACACTATGCACAATATACTAAATTCAGATTTTTTAAGTAAGCAACAATAATAGCTGTTTTTGCTATCATATCGATACTTTAAATGCAAATATAATACATATAAAAATGAAATAGGCAGATTTATTGCAGAGTAACTTGTTTTTTATGTTTCAATTTTACAGGGCAGAAACTATGTTGCCAAGTAGAATTTCTAGGTTTAAACCTGACTGAATTACACAAAGAAACTAGAAAACAGGGTTTTAGAAAGTAACAATGATATTTGTTGGTACAAAACAAACACTACCTGAATTTTTCTGTAAGTGTTACTTGCACAAAACGATTGATTGGTTTTATACTGTTTGCACAAGGGCTATCTCGTCCCTTGTTTTGAGCTGATAAACTAGAGTGAAAGTAGCTAGATCTTAAGCTAGTCTTGTCTGACCGAATAGTGGGATGACAGTCACTCTTATAGCGCACCCTCAAATCAAATTGGATTCAAAATCTGCCCACGTTCACAACTAGGTCACGCCTGGTCCTTCACAAAACGAAAAGAATGCTCAAATTTCCTTAAGAGAATTAACTTGCGAGAATAATATACAAACTCTGCTAATTCGCCCAGAGCACATTATCAATCACTTCCCTCAAGAAAAAGGTTACTCAAGTACTCTACCTTTACTTGAATGGTGTAACCAGAAACCCCTTTAATACCAAACATAGAAAGGCCAAATGTGTGAAGATTTGAATGACAAAGAAATATTTGGTATTTTTCAAATATCCATGAAAACTTTAACACGCATGTTAGGATTAGGAAAATTACAAACTGGTATTCAAAAATTAAAATACTAGAGTTTTGTCAAAGGAATTTTATCGAAACGTAAATTTGTTTTCGAATCTGAATTTACATTTTTGTACCAGATATGATAGAAGTTGAAGTTATATAGTTATGTTACTTGAAGTTACCTAGGCCTACATTTAAAGTTTCAAATTGTGTCATTACGAAGCAAAGATAAGTTTCGAAAAGGTAATTGAAAAGTCATTTATCAAATTTCTACAACTCAAGGATAAGTTTATTTTTAAAATGTTTTTGTTTAATGATATGAAATTCAAAATAATGTAGAAATATTTTCTTCACTCCCTAGGAGACGTCAATAATGGAGAAGTCACCGGAAGACGAGTTACAAAGTGTAAAATAAAGAAATTAATTTCCTGGTTTATTCGTTATGAGTACAACATCAAACGTTCCCACGTAACTCCAACAGTTTTAACGTATCACTTGCGTCTCAGTCTGACTTTTTTAACACACTTCGGATCTTAAGTATTGAAATCGTGTGCACGTATTGCTAATTAACATTAAATTCAGAGACATTTTAAACATAACGAATTACAAAACGTTTTCAAGTGTTATTCTAAAATTATACGTTTAAAATTCTTCAAGTAAATTAGAGCTATAACAGGAGTTACATTTGAACCAGCTTGGATGTTGTTGTAAAGTTTTTGCTTAAACTGGAATATTTTGCTTTTTGGCTTAACATAAGTAGTTATGGAATTGCAAACGACTTGGTTCTGTGTGGTTGAAAAATCTATACGTGTACTTCTAAGTTTGATATCACATAGACTAACGATATGCGTTAAAACTGGGGTATTGTATTAAGGATTTGTGAGGTCCCTATAAAGCACCGCAGTGGAGCCCGAAGTGAATCAGAGAAGTATAATCTGTTAATATTTCTTAATAACAAACCAATTGTGAATAAATAATTATATAATAATTATTTTCTGGATTAAATTTACCCTCTTTCAGTCTTTAACGCCTCCAAATGAAAAGCAACGTAGCACATCATGTTACTAAAGACTAATTAATCTTTTATGATCGCAGTAAAATTTGGTAACATTTTATAAAACAGGGTAGCCTTGTAGTTAAATCTAAAATGTTTTTATGCATCATATTTATGTGCAACGCTGAGAAATTTGGACGATCAGTTGAGGTTGCTCTAAGAACTATCCTATAACCATACAGATTTAAAATACAGCAGCTTAATTAACAAGATTAAAATATACTTTATTTTATATTATTAGATTTTATGCTCCGTTGCGTCCCTTTGTGCTATTTTGCGGAGTTTATTAAGACCTAATTTGGGTTATATTCATCCAACTGTAGACTAGTCGGGAATTTACTGTCTATAGTTTCAAAAAACAGGCAACCTTTGAAACATTTTTATGTTTTATACTATGATCTATGTTTAAATTATTAAACAACTTGATTATTAAATATCTGTGAAAAGTATGTGTAGAAAAGGTAAGAAAAATAAATATGATCCATTTGTACTTCTGTTCATCAGAAATGTTAAGTATTATAGAAACTTACACTGCGTGTATTATAGTAAAACGTTATAAAAGATAACCCAAACATTCTATCATTGGTCGCTACTCTAGCCACCAGTGGCACAGCGGTATGTCTGCGGAGTTATAACGCTAGAATCCGGGTTTCGATACCTGTGGTGAGCAGAGCAAAGATAGCCCATTGTGTAGCTTTGTGCTTAATTACAAACAATCAAATAAACAAATGCTACTCTAAAATAAACACCTGTTATAAATGACAGAAAGTGTCCAACGAATCGGTTTGTTTGTTTTAAAGCACAACGCTGCACAGCTATCTTTGTTGTGCCCACTACGGGTATTTAAACCCGTTATTTAGCGTTATAAGCCTAGAGATTTAACGCTGAGCCACTAGATTTTTCTTGCGAATTACTGAGGACGTAAGAACGGTTAGGTGAATCTTTTTGTCTTAACTGTGTTTCAAAATCTTGGATGAATTATTCATTCCTATATCACTTTAAAGCAACCAAAAATAATAAAAGTATATTTCATGAACCCAAATAGCAAAACGAGCTTCTTTCCAGATCAGAATGGCAATCGAAACAGTAAAACTTTCAATAATAATGCTTATTCCTTTTATATAATGTAAACCAGTCGATGTAATGGATTGGTTGGTTGGTAGATTTGAAGAAAAGTTACATTGGCCTATCTGCTGTGTCCACAGCGGGGAATCGAACATCGTATATTAGTATCGTAAGTCTGTAGACTTGCCGCTATCCCACCGGGGGACTCGATGTTATGGGAAACAGTTACCTACAGTAATTTTATCAAAATTATACTTGCATATCTAATTATTTGAGTTAATAAATTTTAGGTAGTTAAATAGATTTCAATTAAGTTTAATTATAAATTTAGAGAATGTCAGCTTTCACCCCTCATGTGAACCGAGCGTGGACAGGTGGTTGGTTAGCGTGCCCAAAGTTTAAATCTGAGAGTTCATGACTAGTATCTCACATCATGCCTCAAACTGAACAAAAAAACGCGGCCTGGCTAAGTATTGAGCGAATATTTGCTATAAAATTCTTATCAATGCTACAAGTGTAGTTACCAGTTTGGCCGTCAATTTTGATTTCATTCCTTTAAGCCGCACACTCAATCATTTTTTGGCAGCACCCTTTTTCACATCTAAGGTGTTTTTGATTACATAGATTTTGGGAGAAGAAATGTCACTATTAAAAATAAGTTTTTTTTTATTTACTGGTTGCAGTTTTCATATAATAACATGGCTGGACTGTCAAACTATCAAATATTATGTCACAATGGTTTTGATACAATATCCAGAATTCTAGGGGATGGGTCAAAGTTTATGAGATTACTATAGAGTATATATTGGCTAATAATGCCCTGTGACGTGGAGTCGTATGAAGAATATCAACAAATAATCAATAAGTTAAAGACAATTCTCAAACTACCTTGTATTAGATAAAACGATTACTAAGTAATCTATGACCGAAACAGCGTTAAGGTGTAACAATAATGTAACAATGAGTGTTTATTATCAAGTTACCAGGAAATGACACAAAATACATCATTATCACTGTAGGTGAAAAAAGGAGGGATTTTTGAAGAACCTGGTATATATAGGTGGTTGAATACATGAAATAAGACCGATTTTGAATATGCAAGCCAGGAAGTCATAGTCACAACCGATGTAAAGTTACAGTGAAACAAAGTGAATAAGAACTTTTTTTTTCACTGTTTAGCGTATTTGGTAGGTAGTGTGATGCCGCCCAAAACTGATCGCTTTCGGAAAGGTTCATACCTGTTCTTATGCAATATATCCATAAAGTCAGATCATAAAAATGTCTTAAGATCTGGGATTTAGAACCTTCAAGACGATGATATTCCTTTTACTTAATGGGATTGGAAAACAAAGGAATATGAATTAACTTGGAGAACCAGGATCACTCAAAAAGAGACCTGCAACAAGTCGTACTCCAACCGTTGTAAGCAAATTGCAGCGCCTTGGAACAGGTGGGAATTCACGAACCCAAAGGTTAGAGGCAAAAGCTGTCCAAGTGTCTCAATACGAACATCTCTGTTATAGAATAATGTCAATTACTTCTCAGTTTATTGAGCTGTCCAAGTGTCTCAATACGAACATCTCTGTTATAGAATAATGTCAATTACTTCTCAGTTTACTGAGCTGTCCTAGTGTCTCAATACGAACATCTCTGTTATAGAATAGTGCCAATTACTTCTCAGTTTATTGTTATAAACATCGCATATCTGAAATGTTACTGATTGAGCATTAATCCTACCCAATATATAGTCGTTTTTTTACACAATATTGTTTTTAGTTTTCAATATGAAGCAAATCACAAAGTTTAAAGTGTTCCAACTATTCTTGAAGCACGACTGGATTTTACAAATATCACAACTGTATATTCCACTAATATTGGAAGCCTTTGAATAAATGGAAGCTGGCAAACAATATATATAAGTATCCAAAAGGACAGTTAGCATAATTTAGAATCTCTTTCAAGCCAATGGCACAGTTTCTTGAAAACCTGAACAACACAGACTATCATTTACAACCCAAGTAGACCGCCAATATATTTTAATTCTGGAACACCGAAATCGTAAGATACTTGCTTCAGAGCCATATAAAATATTTACAGTTGAACTGAGTACCAAATCAGTATTCATGCAGTAAGGAACATAATTTACAAAGCATGCCTGTATTCTAAACATCAATTGAGGTGTATTACATTCACAACAAGGCATTAGTTAAATAATTCTAATCCTTAAAAAGAAGTATTGAAATAATGCTATAAGAAATACAGAAAAAAAGAATATTACTTCTAAAAAACTGCTATATTTTATTTACCGTTTCATAAAACAGAAAAAACCTTTGTTCAGGCATATTGGTATATTTATTTTATAACATTTAGTAGAGATATTATGTGTGCATTTAGTTAAGATATTAATAATAATAAATTTATATGAATCTTTGCTTGCTTGTTCCTGCATGCTAGTGCCATTGGGGTGTGGGACATACCAAAGTAAAAGATCATATGGAGGTTTGTAAAAGTCGTTTGGAGCTGGGAGTTAATATCCCTTTGGATATCTATCATGAAAATAGTCACTGTTGTAGGTGCTATCAAAGTTACTGCTGTGCCACTTGAGGGCTAGTATTGTGGCATAGACATAATTCTTTGGTCATCTTTAGAGTGAATAAGCCATACTGAGAGTCATGATCACGTTTCATAATCTATCATTACGACAATAAAGTTGATAGGTGGATAGAGAAAGTCTTGTCTGCTGCAGTTAAGCATTTACTGATTATCTCACATATGCCGGAACGTAGAATAGTGAAAATGAACCAACGTATCAAAGACGAACCTGTACATGTAAAGGCTAACTGAAAATGTCTCTATGGAAACATCTAGGCACTGACTAATTAACACAGGCACACCACAAAGCACTGACCAGAGTTACCCCTGACCAAGAAGAGAAACAAGATGTGCATAGAGTGCCCATCTTTTTGTCACAATTATGAAGATCATTGTGGCAGTCAAGAATATTCATAGATAGCAAGGCAAACTGATAATGCACTGGGACCATGTACAGTAACTGATTTGGATGCAGAATGTGACAAAAATATGTGTATCCCTATTATCCCTATATGTAATAGCATTCTGTTGATCATTACACCTGAAACTATTCCATTTGTCAGGATACTCGAGCATTTGGAGTATGTGAAGAGCCTCCCTCGAATATTGATACCTTAGCCTCACAGCAGTAGAGAAATTGGTAGCAGGTATCTGTCTAATTTACTATTTTGGAAAAATGATGAGATGAAGCAGGTTAAACTCGTGGTGTTTAATTAAAGGGATGGTGAAATAGGAACAAGATTGATTATTAAAATATTTCAAGCATGTTGCAGCCTAAAACATAAGAGGTCGGAGAAAAAATGTAATCCAACATCTGATGCTGAATTAGAATGTTTAAGTGCTTGACATCTAAGAATATTTTGGATGTAAAGAAATTTCACCACTACAGCATAGTTCTCATTAATTTGTGCCACCAATTGGAACCCCGATTAGCATCTTGTCAAAGGACACAATATTCACCAAGATATGCATGTTCCCAGATGTTTGAAGGGTAAGAAAGATCTTCTTAGAATACTGATGATATCTCAGATACACAGTTGGAGAAACACTGCTAGCAGGTACCTGTTTGTAGCAATGTTTCAAGATGGTGATGAAATGAAAAAACTTAACCTGATGGTGTTTAAAGGAATGGCAAAAGAATATTTGAACTGTTTCTTAAAACATTTCAAGCATATTGTGATCTGGAATAGATGGAATAATGGCTATGCAGTATAATGTCTGATATTGAGTTTGGACATGTTTGTGTTTGATGCTTTAGACAACGGAATGATGGGCAACTTGACCACTGGCATACAGCTGTCATCGAACTGTGCTACAGATTCGACCCTATGTAGTAATCCATAAGGACCAGCTCAAATCATGAATACTGTGAGAACGTAGCCACTTACTTGGATAATCTTAGAAGCTTACCTGAGAAGGCATTCCTAAGCTTGTCACCTTGTAATCGTGTTGAGACTCTCATCATTAAATTTATATAACTGTTATGAACCAAACCCAAGTGGCACCACATAAGTTTCCAGGGCAACCTTTCTCTGATTGGGTCTGTTTCACGGGTGACGTGGTCCTAGGTGAAGGTGATTATACAAATCAAATGCTGTAGCTGAAGAATAGGTCAGCATAAGTCGTTACTACATTAAATAATTATTCTCAACTAAAGTGTGAAACGAAAGTTCTACTGCTACTGATGTCACCAGGTGTCGTGTTGCAGTTATCATGATTCTCAGAGAGTCATTATGTCTTTTC